CTCTGAACTAAAGAAGGCTTCCAAAACTGCTCAATGCCACACCCCACTTTCTCCCTTTCTCCAACCACCCCACTACTTTCTGAGCTCCCTTTTTTAAACTTGCCCTCCCTTTCTCCTCTTTTCTCTTCTTCACCAACACCCTCTACTGACTTAGGGGAAACTAAGAATATAAAACTAGACCAGGATAGGCCAGAAAAACCAGAAATTCTGGCAGCTGCCTTTTGAGAAAAGCCAGTCCCAGGACAAGGGGAACAAGCAATAATTTATTCTCCTTTAACTAAAGCAAAATTAATGGATCTAACTAAATATTTTTTAAAATATATTTAATTGATTTTTTTACAGAGTGGAAGGGAGAGGGATATAGAGCTAGAAACATCTATCAGCTGCCTCCTGCACACTCCCTACTGGGGATGTGCCCGCAACCAAGGTACATGCCCTTGACCAGAATCGAACCTGGAACCATCAAGTCTGCAGGCCGATGTTCTATTCAGTGAGCCAAACCAGTTTTGGCTCCTTTTTATTCTTATTGATATTGGTTCTGATCTCTCTGCCCTGATTTATACCATAAAAACCACAGTTCAGAGCATCAACCAGTACTCCTCACATCACCACGGAGCAATACTACCTCCCATACATCCATAAGTGGCTAAAAATAATTTGGCCTTGGGTTATGTGATACATAACAAAGACACTTCGATTGAAACAGGGGTCACCTAAGACCATCGGAAAACACAGATATTTACATCACGATTCATAACTGTAGCAAAATTACAGTTATGAAGTAGCAACAAAAATAATTTTATGGTTGGGGGTCACCACAACATGAGGAACTGTATTAAAGGGTCCCAGCATTAGAAAGGTTGAGAACCACTGACCTAAATGAAGAAATTGTCAGGACTAGGGAAACTTTTTCTGCCAAGGATCATTTGGATATTTATAACATTATGGGGGGATCATACAAAATTATCAACTTAAAAATTAACTTGCTAGTTTTTCTCAGTGGTTAGAGCATCGGCCTGTGGACTGAAGGGTCATGGGTTGGATTCCAATCAAGGGCACATGCTCGAGTTTAGCCTCAATCCCCAGTGTAAGGTGTGCAGGAAGCAGCTAATCAATGATTCTCTCTCATCATTGATGTTTCTATCTCTCTCTCCCTCTTCCTTGCTCTCTAAAATCAATAAAAATATATTACAAAAATAAAAATTAAAAATTTAGCCTTCTAGACAATAGGGTAGGGAAGTCCTGGGGCAGAGGGTGGGGCAGGCTGGAGGGCGTAAATGGGGGGAAAAGGGGAGCATATGTAATACTTTCAACAATAATGATTTTTTTTAATTTAGCCTGCTAAAGGACCTAAATGGACACTTCTCAAAAGTGGACATACAGAAGGCCAAGAGACATAAAAAAAAAAATGCTCAAAGTCAGTAATCATCCGAGAGATGCAAATCAAAATGACAATGCATTATCCTCTCACACCTGTCGGAATGGCTATCATCAACAAATCAACAAAAGACAAGTGCTGAGCAGCAGGCCAACCAGCCACCTCTGCCCAACTCTGTCATCCACTTGCCTTTCATCATTGTGAACACCAGCAAAAAGATCGTCATCGACTGCAGCATTTCTAATGACAAATTCGAGTATCTATTCAATTTTGACAACACGTTTGAAATCCATAACGGCATATAAGTGCTGAAGCGCATGGGGATGGCCTATGGGCTGGAGTCCGGAAGCTGCTCTGCTGAAGACCTGAAAATGGCAAGAAGCTTGGTGCTGAAAGCAATGGAACCCTACGTGACAGAAATGGCTCAGGGATCGCTCAGCAGTGTATTCCTCAGTTTCGACCCCTAACGGCACAAGGCTTTCTGCCAGTGACTTGACCAACGGTGCGGACGGGTTGCTGGCCACAAGTTCCAGTGGCTCTCAGTACAGCGGGTCCAGGGTGGAGACTCCCGTGTCCTACGTTGGGGAGGATGACGACAATGAAGAGTACGAAAACGAAGAGAAAGACTGATGTGTTTGTTCACTGGCCACACTCCCCTCACGTTCAGCTTCAGGAAAACATGTTTAGGAAAGAGAAACTTTTTTTTTTTTTTACAGTGGGGAGGGGAGGGAGATCTGGAGGAGATAATAGATCAACCGAAGGACTTGTATACATGCATATAAGTACAACCAATGGACATAAAACTCTGGGGAGGGAGGGTATGTATGGGAGGGAGGTAGGGGGGGGGCAAAAAAATCAATAAAATATATTTTTAAAATAATATAAATAAATAAATAAATAAATAAATAAATAAATAAATAAATAAAAAGAGAGAAACTTTTCTTAATGTGGGCTTTCATGTTTCTTTTTGGCTTCCTCCCAAGAAAATATTGGTAAGCTATTGCATTTGACGTGCACATCTGATAAGCAAACGAGAGCTGTTTCTGCAGGGTCTTAAACGGGGTGTATGGATTCTAGTCGCTGGCGCAGGGCTTTTACTACGTAGAATTTTGTATTTTCACTTTTCTATTTTTTAAAAATTCAGAGTTCCTTTTTGCCCTTTAACAATTCTTGCTGAGTTTGCTGAAGAAGTTGTACTTCCATCTACATCAACGAAAATGCTGTCCTCCTGTTGAGGCCGCCCCGGCCACTTACTTGCAGCGGGCTGTGAAGGGCGCCACCCCATGGCGGAGCGTGTGGCTCCAGACCGAGCTCCCATTTGTGACTGTCTGCGGTGTCCGCAGAACCATGCGAATGGCGGAGCTGCTTTCCAACATTGAGCACCACAAAGCCTATTATGACGTATTTCCCCTTAAATTTAGTGACTGCGTGATTCCATAGACTTTTCCTTTTTTCCTTTCTTCTTTCCCCCTCCCCCACCCCCCATGGTGAAGCAAGCATTCGAAGTTGTTCATTTGTGTTTGTGTTTGGTTTGGTAATTTCCTGCCTTGCTGGTGCAGCTGTGAAAACTCTGGAAATCTTGGGATGATTTTTTGCTTATGGTAAAATTTGCCTGATTTCTTACAGGCAGCATTTGGAAACTTTTTATTATATAGTTGTTTACATACTTATAAGTCTATCATTTAAAGACATGTACTGAAACAAATGTTGTATTTGTTTCATGAGCATCTTCCTGTAATCTATTATAAAGTTGAAATTAGATATAGGGAATGTTTAAAAAAAAAAAAAAAAAAGGAAAAGTGCTGGCAAGGATGCGGAGAAAAAGGAACCCTCGTACACTGCTGGTGGGAATGCAGACTGGTGCAACCACTGTGGAGAACAGTATGAGGTTTCCTCAAAAAACTAAAAATGGAACTCCCATTTGACCCAGTAATCCCACTTCTAGGAATATATCTTAAGAAACTTGAAACACCAATCAGAAATAATGTATGCACTTCTATGTTAATAGCAGTGCAATTTACAATAGCTAAAATTTGGAAACAGCCTAAGTGCCCATCAGCAGATAAAAAAGCTGTGGGACATTTACACCATGGAATACTATGTGGTGGTAAAAATGAAGGAACCCTTACCATTTACAACAGCATGGAGGAACCTGGAGAGTATTATGCTAAGTGAAATAAGCCAGTCAGAGAAAAATAAGTACCACATGAGCTCATCCATATGTGGACTCTAATGAATAAAATAAACTGGTGAACAAAATAGATCCAGAGACATAGAAGCATAAAACACACTGACCAATTTCAGAGGGAAAGCAGGGGTATGGTGGGGTGGAGAGAGATTAACTGAAGAACATATATTGAAATACGTATTGCCCATGGACACAGACAATATTGTGGTGAAAGCCTGGGAGGATAGCATGTGGGACGGAGTGGGTCAATGGGGAAAATCAAAGGGAACATCTATAATACTTTCAAAAATAAAGATAAATTTTAAAAATTAGCCTGGTATAATTTGACCAAACATTTAATTAACGCACCTCTGATGCCATGGCAGGGCCAGACCAAATGATTTCATGAGCCAGATGTTCCCCACTCCTGCAAGCAACTGAGGCACAGAGAGGAAAATTGACTTCCCCAACGGCACACAATTGGTAACCTGAAGAACCAAAATTCTAATGCAGTTTCCAGAGTCCAGACTCTAACCACCACACCTATAGCCTCTGCAAATGTGAGCAATAAATGAGGCTATAATTTACTAAGGGCTGTTATGAGGATTAATAAAATAATGTATGTAAAGCCCAATATGTGACAAGTGTCTGACAGGTAGCAATTGTGTGTATTATAGATTTTTCCTTCTGCACTTAGAAATAAACTTAATTACATATGTATGTCTGGGGACCTCACATACATGATAGAGTCAGAGATTCCACATACATGAGAGGTTCAGAGACAGAAAGGAAAAATGAGTTGTATATGACATTCTAAGCTAAGGATGAGTAAAGTGCTGTGGGGCTTCAGAGGGGAGGAAGGTCATTCCCAGGCTGATAAGAGGAGCAGATACTCAGTAATTAGGAGTTTGCCCTGCCCTATAGTTAGGTCACAAAGGGTTATTTCAGATGATAAGTCTTTTTATGGGCTAGGGCCCTAATTTAAATTCCTTAGAGAGGTAAAAGTTTATCTTTGAGCCTACAGGGTCTCTGTTGTTCCCTTTAGCTCAAAACAGCCTGCATACCACAGAGGCACATCTTAGGGTGACTGATTCTGAATCCTTACTGGGTAAACAAGAAGAGCGGCAACCCTGAATACTTAGGAAACAAGAAGTCTAACTGGCTGGGCCTTGAGGGAGCGTGGAGACTCTTTCTCAACAGCAAACAGAAACTTGCTAACTGCAGAGCAGATGGCAAATCCAAGAGGCTTCCGACTCTGAGGCCTCCTCCGCCCCACCCACTCCACCCTGAGGCCGCCAGGGCGGTCCTCGCTTCCGGCCCGGCCCAGCCGAGTCCGTCCCCCTACGGGCGGACCGCGTCCGCCCCCTCCGCCGAGAGCCCGGGAGCCCGAGAACCCCAGGCCCGAGACACTTGTTGTCCCGGAGGCCGGGGCCGGGGCTCGGGTGGTGGGGCGCTATGGCGACATGGCGACGTGATGGCCGGCTCACTGGCAGCCAGCGGCTGCTGTGCGCGGGGCTGGCAGGCATGCTCAGTTTGAGCCTCACCGCGCCGCTGGAGCTCGCCACCGTGCTAGCCCAGGTCGGCGTGGTGAGGGGTCGTGGCCGGGGACCGTGGGCCGCGGGGCTCGGCGTCTGGCGAGCGGAGGGGCCCAGGGCTCTGTGGAAGGGGAACACGGTGGCGTGCCTGCGCCTCTTCCCTTACAGCGCCGTGCAACTCACCGCCTACCGCAAGTAAGGGCCGGGCGAGTGGGCGGACGGGGCCAGGAGGAGGGATCGCTGGGGATCCTGGGGTCAGGTCCCTGCCTTAGGCCCCAGCCCCTTTTCGGATCGCGTGGGAGCCCCTCAGAGCCAATTTGGCCAAAAGGTGACAACGAGGGCCCAAAGCGCAGTCCCTAAGTTTGTCACGTGCTCTTGGGATTCCTGTCTCTCCAGGTGCGGTTTTGTGGGGGCTGCACTGGCCCAGACAGGCTCAACGGGTTGGATCAGTGAGGAGGTGCAATGTGTCAAAAGGAGATTTGGGGGAGGAAGTAAAGAGATCTCTGCAGATGGCTCCTAACCATTCATTCCACAGTCCACCAACTTGGAAACTGCCTTGGCTAGCCTAGGAGAGACCCCTTGGAAGAAGGCGAGTGTATGCAACTGTGTCTGTGTGACCAAAGCCCACAGAAGAACGTGTTTGATAGGGGTAGAGGGCTCAATCCATTGCCACAAAAAGACCAGATTTCTACACACACACACACACACACACACACACACAAATGAAGCCCGTCTTTAGGGTCCAACAGAGGCCACAGCTGCTTCTCATGCTCACTGGCCTCATTCTTCTGTTAGGGCTTCAGGCTTACCTCAACAGCTGCTTTTTATGAAACGACTAGAGGCCTGGTGCATTAAATTCTTTTTTTTTTTGCAGGGAGGGGAGGGGTGTCCTTCAACCCAGCCTGCACCCTCACCAATCTGGGGACCCCTCTCCAATCCAGCCTAAACGGCCAGTCGGACATCCCTCTCACAATCCAGGACTGCTGGCTCCCAACTGCTCGCCTGCCTGCCTTCCTGATTGACCCTAACCATTTCTGCCTGCCAGCCTGATCGATGCCCAACTGCTCCCCTGCCAGCCTGTTTGCCCCTAACTGCTCTCCTCTGTAGGCCTGTCCCCTTCAGGCCTGGGTCCCTCCCAACTGCCCTTCCCTGCAGGCCTGGTCACCCCCAACTGCCCTCCTCTGCCAGTTTTGTCATCCCTAACTGCCCTCCCTTGCAGGCCTGGTCCCTCCCAACTGCCCTCCCCTGCTGGCCATCTTGTAGTGGCCATCTTGTGTCCACATGGAGGCAGTTATCTTTGACCACATGGGGGCAGTCATCTTGTGTGTTGAGTGATGGTCCATCTGCATATTACCAGGATAGAGGCCTGGTGCACTGGTGGGGGCCAGCTGGTTTGCCCTGAAGGGTGTCCCGGATCAGGGTGGGGGTTCTCTTGGGGCCTGGGGCAGCCTGGGCGAGGGGCCTGTGGTAGTTTGCAGGCTGGCCAGGCCCCCTGGCAACCCAAGCAGAGGCCCTGGTATTTGGGGTTTATCTTCTACAATTGAAACTTTGTAGCCTGGAGTGAAGCCAAGCCTTCTGCTTGCTTAGTGGCAGCCATTTCTATTGGGATTTGTGTATCTTCTATAATTGAAACTTTGTAGCCTTAAGCAGAGGCCTGGGCCAGCCAGGGTGTATGGAAAGCTTGGCTTTCTCCATCACCAGGGCCAACCCTAGCCTCCTGCTCTTTCCAGCTCTGTGGCTGCTGCCATTTCTGTTTGGATTTATGTATTTTCCATCATTGAAACTTTGTAGTCTTTTTTTTTTTTTTTAAGTGGTATCTGCAAGGCCAGGAGCCCCAGTGTGGAGAGATGGCCATGGACATCTTTTTTTTTTTTTTAATATATTTTATTGATTTTTTACAGAGAGGAAGAGAGAGGGATAGAGAGTTAGAAACATCGATGAGAAAGAATCATCGATCAGCTGCCTCTTGCACACCCCCTACTGGGGATATGCCCTTGACCGGAATCGAACCTGGGACCTTTCAGTCCGCAGACCGACGCTCTATCCATTGAGCCAAACCGATTTCGGCAAAACTTTGTAGTCTTGAGTGGCGGCCTAGGCTGGCAAGAGCAGGTGGAAAGCTTGGCTTCCTCCATTGCTGGGGAAACCCAAGCCTCCCTCCTGCTCTCTATGGCCGTAGCCATCTTGGTTGAGTTTATTTGCATATTTGCTCCTGATTGGTTGGTGGGTGTGGCTTGTGGGCATGGCTTGCAGGTGTAGCGGAGTGATGGTTAATTTTCATATTGCTCTTATTGGATAGGATGAGGCCAAATGAGTCTTAAAGCTTCCTCAGAGCTCATAGATTTTTTTTTCCTTTTAGCTGAAAACAAAGCCTAAAAGAATGAAATCATAAGTGATGCAATTTCAAAGAGGGAATATTCCTATATTAGGAAGAGGAACACAGTGCTTCCTAACTCTGAAGACTGACCTTGGCTCTGAATTAGACAAACAGCCCACAATCTTGACCACATTGTTCAGCCTTGGAAGCTAATAGTCAAAGAATTTTGCCTTTGACTCTGGGAGGCCAGAGCTGGAAGGCTCACCTGGCAGCTGACAAGCAAGATGGAATATACATTGAAATTATTACCTCAATCAACCTTATCACTGAGTCCTCCAGGCCAGGGCTCATTTCATCTACGCCTGGGAGTAGAGTTACCTTGTCTTCCTCTGAGAAGGAAGATAGTGAGAGTACCAGGCATTTCTGTCAAGGCTCTCTTTCCTCCCCAGAACCCCATTACCATCAGCAACTTTTGGCCTGAAGTCTGTGAACAGCTGAGCTATAATGGCTCATCTCCTCACTTCACTTTCTTCTCCACGAAGCATACCCAGGGGAAGAAGGCAGGTTTAAGTGTTGTGGCTTTTCTGCTAACCACCTAGTATACAGTATACCTGTATACATCATTTGATTTTTAAAACAGATTGAGATATAATTGATACAAAAATTGTTTATATTTAAAGTGTGCAACTTGGTATTTTTATGTACACTCAAATTATTACCTCAATCAAGCTAATTAATATATGTCACCTCTATATAGTTATTTTATGTGTGTGTGTTTGTGTGTATACATGCATGTGTACATCATTGAATTTTTAAAATTCCTGTAAGGTCCATAGCATGAGAAATATGCCCATTTTACAGACGCAAAATTGTACTCCAACTGGCCATACCATTAATCAATGACAGCTGAGCTCCACTGCTGGGCTTTCTGATTTCAAATCTCATATTCTACTACATCATGTTGCCTTTCTCTCTGACTTTATTTCACATTAATTTAGCAAGTCTTCATTAAGTACCCATCATGTGCATAATACTGGGAATGAGGCAAGGATGAAAGGGGCCTGGTCCCTGTGCCCCAGAACTGAAAAGTAATAGAAGAATAAGAGTAATGTGTCCATAGTGTAAGATTGCCATGGTTGAAGTGCTTTAGAAATAAACACTTCCGATGAGGGATGAAGAGGAAGAGATGTGAAGACTTCACAGAGGAGAAAAAAACATCTGAGTTTGGTCTTAGGAGAATGAGTAGGAGTTTGCTGGGCAAAGATAGGGAGAAAGATATTGCAGGTAATGTTATGAGCGAAAGTGCAGGGGTGGGAAGGCATGTAGCATGACTGGAGCATAAGGGGTGTCTACAGCAGTAATGGGAAATACAGCCAGAAAAGCAAGTTAGAATCAGATGTTGGAGGGTCAGGTAAAAGAGTTTGGACTTTTCTTGGTATGCAAGAGTAGCTGTGGGAGTTTTTTCAGGGGAACATGCTCTCATTAAAGCAAGTCAGCAGGAATAATTGTCACCTGGATGCAGGGTAGGATGACTAGAGAGGAGGAAGACTAGAGAGGGGTGACAGAACCAGTTAGGAACCTATTGCACTGACCAGTAACAGCTGAGTACACCTGCAATAGACTGGTGACAGTGTGAGTAAAGAAGATTTGATGGATCAGAGAGGAAGAAGAGATAGTTATTAAGCTAGGTTTGCTAATAGTTTTTTCCCTGCAAGATTATTTTTTTCGTTCTTTCTCTTTTGCTATTTAATAAATCTTTATTGTTCAGATTATTACAATTGTTCCTCTTTTTCCCCCTCTATAGCTTCCCTTTACCCGGTTCCCACCCCACTCTCTGCCCTCACCTCCCACACACACTGTCCTCATACATAGGTGTACCATTTTTATCCAGTCTCTTCCCACACCCCGTTCCCCCTGAGAATTATCAATCCACTCCCTTTCTATACCCCTCATTCTATTATATTCACCAGTTTATTCTGTTCATCAGATTTTTAATTCACTTGATTTTTAGATTCACTTGTTGATAGACATGTGTTTGTTGTTCATAATTTTTATCTTTGCCTTTTTCTTCTTTCTCTTCTTAAGGAATACCTTTTATCATTTCATATAATACTCGTTTGGCGGTGATGAATTCCTTTAGCTTTTTCTTATCTGTGAAGCCCTTTATCTGACCGTCAATTCTAAATGATAACTTTGCTGGGTAGAGTAATCATGGTTGTAGTTTCTTGCTATTTATCACTTTGAATATTTCTTGCCACTCCCGCCTGGCCTGCATAGTTTCTGTCAAGAAAGCAGTTATCTCCCTTGTAAATAACTGTTTTTCTCTTGCTGCTTTTAATATTCTCTTTGTCTTTTGCTCTTGGCATTTTAATTATGATATATCTTGGTGTGGTCCTCTTTGGATTTCTTTTGTTTGGGGTTCTCTGCACTTCCTGGACTTGTAAGTCTATTTCTTTCACCAGGTAGGGGAAGTTTTCGGTCACTATTTCTTCAAATAGGTTTTCAGTATCTTGCTCTCTTCTTCTTCTGGCATCCCTATAATTCAGATGTTGGTACACTTGAAGTTGTCCCAGAGGCTTCTTACACTATCTTCATATTTTTGGATTCTTTTTTCTTTTTGCTTTTCTAGTTGGGTGTTTTTTGCTTCTTTGTATTTCACATCTTTGACTTGATTCTTGTGATCCTCTAGTCTGCTATTGGATCTCTGTATATTATTTTTAATTTTAGTCAGTGTATGCTTAACTTCTAGCTGGTCCTTTTTCATATCCTCAAGGGTCTCTCTAAATTTATTGGTGGTTTCTAGAAAATTCTTGAAAAACCTTATAACCATGTTTTTGAACTCTATATCCAGTAGTTTGCTTTCCTCTATTTCTTTCAT